TTAACACCTTAAAAAATAGCCTAACCCATATGGCAAGAGGTCCCAAAAGCCAGTGAGGAGAAGAATGCCCTAAAAAGGAAAAATTGGCCAAATGGAAAAGGAAGTCCAAAAGCTTACTGAAGAAAATACTTCCTTAAAAATTAGAATACAGCAATTGGAAGATAGTGACTTTATGAGAAATCACGACACAGTAGAACAAATCCAAAAGAATGAAAAATTAGAAAACAATGTGAAATATCTCATTGGAAAAACAACTGACCTGGAAAATAGATCCAGGAGAGAGAATTTAAAAATTATTGGACTATCTGAAAGCCATGATCAAAAAAAGAGCCTAGACATCATCTTTCAAGAAATTATCAAGGAAAACTGCCCTGACATTTTAGAACCAGAGGGCAAAATAGAAATTGAAAGAATCCACTGATCTCCCCTGAAAGAGATCCCCAAAGGAAAACTCCTAGGAATATTGTAGCCAAATTCCAGAGTTCCCAGGTCAAGGAGAAAATATTGCAAGCAGCCAGAAAAACAATTCAAGTATGGTGGAAACACAATCAGGATAACACAAGATTTAGCAGCTTCTACATTAAGGACCGCAGGGCATGGAATATAATATTCCAGAGGCAAAGGAGATAGGATTACAACCAAGAATCACCTACCCAGCAAAACTGAGTATAATCCTTCAGGGGAAAAAATGGTCATTCAGTGAAATAGAGGACTTTCAAGCATTCTTGATGAAAAGACCAGAGCTGAATAGAAAATTTGACTTTCAAATACAAGACTCAAGTGGAACATGAAGAGGTAAACAGGAAAGAGAAATCATAAGAGACTTATTAAGGCTGAACTGTTTACATTCCTGCATGGAAAGATGATATTTATAACTCATGAGACCTTTGTCAGTATTAGGGTAGTGGGAAGGAAAAAATTATATGTATGAGATAGATAGATAGATAGATAGATAGATAGATAGATAGATAGATAGAGGGCACAGGGTGAGTTGAAGATGAAGGGGTGATATCTGGGGAATAAAATTAAGGGGTGGGAGAGGATATACTAGAAAAGGAAGAAAGGGAGAGGTAGAATGGGGTACATTATCTCCACAAAACAACAAGAAAAGGTTCTTACGGGGGAGGGGAAACGGGAAGGTGAGAGGAAATGAGGGAATCTTATTCTAATAGGATTTGGCTTAAGGAGGGAGTAACATACACACTCAATTGGGTATGGAAATCTGTCTTACCCTTCAGGAAAATAGGGGAGGAGGGGGAAATGGGGAGGGGGGCAGGATAGGATTAAGGGAAATAGAGTTAGTTTTTCACGTGTCTACTATGGAAGTAGAAGCACATGTATAACCTATATTGAGTTGCTTGCCTTTTCAATGAGGGTGGGTGGGGTGGGAGGAAGGGAGAAAATCTGGAGCCCAAAGTTTAAAAACACTTTTAAAAAATAATGTTTCCACATGCAACTGGGAAATAAGAAATACAGGAAATGAGGTACAGAAATCTATCCTGTCCTACATGAAAATAGAAGGGGAAGGGGATTAGGGGGGGGGGAGAGATAGAAGGGGAGGCCAGACTAGGGAAGGGGTATTCAGAATGCATGCCATCTTGGGGTGGGGGGAGGGGCAAGATGGGGTGAAAATTTGGAATTCAAAATCTTGTGGAAGTAAATGTTGAAAACTAGAAATAAATTTGATTGTCAGAAAAAAAAATGTATACTCACAATTCTACAGTGCAGTGAGATTTACAAACCACTTTCACAGACTGAGTTGCAAGGGACAGGACTTTTAGCCTAATTAGACCTTGAAAAAAAACTTCCTAGACTTGTATGGTCTGATGCTGAGTGAAGTGAGCAGAAGCAAGAGAACATTATACATAATAACAGTCACGTTGTGTGATGACTGATATTGATAAACTTAACCCTTCTCAGCGATACAGGGATCTAAGACATCTCCAGAGGCCTCGTGATGGAAAATACTATCCATATCCAAAGAATAAACTATGGAAGTTGAATTGCTATCTTTTTTTTCCTGTTCTGTTTTGTTTCCTCTTTCTGGTGGTCCCTCCTATTGGTCTTAATTTTTACTTACAACATCACCAATGTGAAAATATGTTTAATAGGAATGTAAATGTATAGCCTATATCAGATTGTGCGCTGTCTTGGGGAGGGTGGTGGGGAGGAAGGGGGAGAAAAATTTTAAACTCAGAAGCATATGGAAGCGATTGTTGATAAATCAAAGTAAGTAAAAGAAAAAAAACCTTCCTTTCTGTTATACCTGACAAATGGTCACCCAGCCTTTCCTTCCAGACTGTTAATTCTTAAGTTTTACTTCACACTCCTCAAGTTGCCAAGGATGAGAAAAGAGCCGATGGTGGAAGGTCAGTGGGCAGACAGGCTGGCTGCTGCCCCGATGGTGACACCATGAACCAATCCCAATGTTCTGGAAAACAATTTAGAATTCTACTTTAAAAAAAGTCACTACAGGGAACATCCCTTTGAGCCAGTGAGGAAGCTTCCTGTCTCCATGTCTTGCAACACTGTTTTTTGTGGCACTTCTGTCCATGCCCTTTCTTGTGCTTACCTGTCTGTTGTTTCCCTGGCTCTGCATCTGTTTACCTCCATCATTCCGTGCGTCTCTGTATTCATCACACTCCACATTCACGAATTGCAGTGTATTTAGACACGCCTCAACTGATGGACATCTACCTGGTTTCCAATTCTTTGGCTTCCTTGGAGTATAAGTCTAGTAATGGAATCACTAGGTGAAAGGGTGTGAACTTCTAAGTCACTTCATTTGCATAACCCCAAAGTGTTTTTCAAAATAGATGCACTGGTTTTCAGCTCCTCCAACAATGCACTAGTGTGCCTGTTTTCCCACAGCCCTTCTAGTATTGACTATTCCCATTTTTTTTGTCTTCTTTGCCAATTTGTAGGGTATGAGGTAGAACCAGGGGGTTGTTTTGATTTGAATTTCTCTTATTATTGATTTAGAGCATTCTTTCATATGATTGTTTAACATGCCAGGAGATAGGAGGGAGCAGGAGATAATGGTGTCTGTTACATAGTAGGGCCTTAACTGCTTATTGATTAGTGGATGTCTTCACCCTGGCCTGGTCTCCTGTCCTCCCAGGTTCCTTTCAGGATCCCCATGAGCCACTCCTTCCTGGTGGAGTGCCTGCTCCCAGCCCAGTGTGTTTTTACCTTGCAGATAGCAGGACACAAGATGTGTCCATTCAGGGTCCTGCAGGGCCCAGGTTTCCAGGTCCATTGGCCACAGCCCGCCACAGTGGCAGCACTGGGGATCACTCCATGTGGTGGTCCTAGCAGCTTTCCCCCAAATCCTCCTCAGTGGGTGGCACAGAGCACCCTTAGGCATCTCCAGCCAGAGCTGCCTCCCTGACCATCTCTGGACCCTGCGGGCTGGTTATGACTCAGTCACGTGGCAGCAGGCATAAATGCAGGGGGAGGATACAGGGGAAGGTAAAGGACCAACCGTCCCTTGACCTAGCCTAGACAAACAGCCCCTCCACTCTCAGTCACCACTGTGGTCTGAGCAGTGCTTCCTGTGAGTAGAGCCCTGTCCTAGCCATTGGGGAAGGAGAAGAAGCCAGAGACACTGAGATATACATCCTGGCGTCAGGATTTCCCAGCCTCATGGTGGACTTGTGCTACCCCTAGGCAAACAAAGCCTACTCCTCAGAGCATACTGGGTGTGGGGAAGAATGGAGGGCTGTTCCTGGAAGGAGCTGGGCATGCGGTTCATCTGGGTAGCTTCCTCTGGAAAAGGTAAGAGGTTGGTAGGATTGAGGGTGATCCAGGAGGGGAGGAGCATGCAGTAGATTGGCCAGACTGAAGGGGACAACAGTTCAAATGCAGGCATAAGGACCTTCAGAGAGGGCAGACCCATGTCACAGACTAGGGGCTGAGGGAACCAGACAAGGTTCTTGCTGCTGTATCCAGGATGGATTCAGGAAATGGGCCCCTAAGGCAAGAAGGCAAGAGAGGGGACCCTGGCCTGAGTCTGGGCAGGAGCTCATGGAGGGGGGTCTACACCAGGATTCTGACAAAGAAGAGGGAGGACAGTGCAGAGCTGAGACATGAAGGGGGGGCTGGATGTGGGGAGAAGACAGGAAATGGAGGGGGTGTGCAGGTCAGAGGCCAAGGCACCAGCAGCTTGGAGGGTGGGGTGGGGATGGGGACAATAGGAAGAGGCAGTATGGGGTGAGCTAAGGAACCTGTCCCCTTGGGGGTGGAGACAAAGGATCGCATACAAAGGGGAAGGATTCTAGTTAATCCTGGCCCTGGTGGTGGTTTTCTCCACTCTCGAATGGAATCCTGAATGTACATCGGACCATGGAAGCGGTTATGGAATCATCTGCACCACAACAGAGGCCTCTGTCCCCACAGACCTTGTAGTCTCAGCTGAAGACTGTGGTTCGTTTCTCCCATCCCTGGGTTCCAGAGATAGCTGCCCCGCACCCGGCCCCCCTCCCTGCCCACCGGTGGGGAATACCGTGGAGGGGCCACTGCAGGAGCCCGGATGTCTTCTGGAGATGCCGTCCCCCTACTCTTATGGTGACTGCTGATCCAGGCATCCCCACAGGTCTGGTGCCCTGGTAACTGCTGCGCAGGCCATTTCTGCTGGTCCCTGCTTGTCTCCTTTGGTGGGATGGCTCTGGCAGCTACTAGGCCTCTGCTATGTTCCAGTTAAAGTGATCTCCTTGAAGTGGCATCTCTGGCCTTTACACAGGTTTCCCTACTACCTGGCACACCCTCCTGTCCACCCCCACCTTCCTAACTCCCAGTCTTAGCTCAAGTGACACTTTGTCCTCCTCCTCCTCCTCCTCCTCATGAGCATTCAGGTAAGGCCTGTTATATGCCAGGCACTGTGCTAGTGCTGCTGACAAATATTTCAATGATCCTCGCAACAATCCTGGAAGGTTCATGCTGTTGTTATCCTCATTTGACAGCTGAGCAAAATGAAGCAGACAGAGGCTAATTTGCACCGGGTCACATACCTAGTAAGTATCTGAGGCCAGATTTGAACCTGGGGCTTAAATGCGGGCATATCTGATGATAGCTAAATATTAATGAGGCCTTCCAACATGAAAACGCTGCCCACCCCCGGTATGCATGCACCTTTAAGTCATTCCTCAAAACAATTTCAAACTGTTTTCCAGAACGGTCAGACCAGTTCACGGATCTACCCACAGTATACCGGCATGCTGGGCTTTTCGCAGACCCTCCCACATTACTGTTCCCTTCTTGAGGCTGTTGATGTCCATTTCTCTTCACATTAGTGATTGGGATCAGTCTTTCATATGATTGCTAATCTCATGGAATTATTTTTTTAAGAAGTGCTGGTACTATCTTTTGTTGCTAGCCATTGGTGAACAGCTCTTGGTCTTACATATTTGTGTTTGTTGTATGGATGACACCAGCAAACTACTTGTTTCTGAGCAGTTTGGGACTTCCCACCTTCTGATCAGGCTTCTGGAGGCCCCAAGAAAGCAACAGCACCCGCAGCAGTAAGGTCCAATAGAAGATGCTATACGCCTGGCTCCATCAGCTGGCCCTTTCCTAAGCACTGACACTGCCTGAACTCATTCTCAGGGGTTGGCATAGTATCCCTCCCCCTTCGGGTCCCTTATCCTCCCCATCTCAGTCACATGGAACCCCCAACTAAAAAACAAGAAGTGACCCCTGCTCTGATTATCTCCTCATTCCCATCCTTCTCCACTTTACACCCCCATTTTCCTCCCTCAGATCGACCTGCCCCTGCCACTGTGTTTTTTGTCACTTGTGCTCTGGAAGCCACAAACTGTCCCATTTTAAACCTTTTGCTCTCCCACCCCATCTTCTTGAACTCACGGAGAACTGTCTCCTTCCCGATGACATCGTCACTGGTCACCAGCACCAGCTACACTTTCTGTCATCCCCCTTATTCCCTAATCACTGGTCCCACAGGGGGAGCTGGAATGTCCTTTGCTCTCCATTGCCACTTACAGTCTCTCCCTCTCTTGCCATCACTCAGTAAGCTCTCCATGACCGTGCCTGCCACCCAATCAAGCTCAACATTCCAGCAGCTGTCATTTACCAACCTCCAGGACATTCAAGCCCATTCCTTCCTCGGCGAATTCAGTGCCCAGCTCCTGCCCTCATACCAAAGGACTTCCACCTACACACGGAGACTGTTGATGACCCTTAATTCTACCGAGGCTCCCTCAAACACCCTAAACTTCCAGCCTTCAACTGACTCGTTTCCCATGAACTACTGGGCTATCCAGAGATGACCACGCTCTTGATCCACCCATTTCTAATCCCCAAATCTACCACTTCTGTGTTCATGAATTCGAAATCCGCTTGTCTAATCAGTCTGTCCTCACTCTGCCTCTCCCACCTTGCTCTTCACACTCGCCGTCCTCTTCAGTCCCTCAACCCCTCATTTGTTCCCTAGGCTGACACCCCTGCACCGCTGACACTCTCCTCCCTTACCCAACCTGATCTCTTGGTGAACCAGTTCAACTCTACACTGTCTTCTTGAATCCGTTCCCCTTATGCTTTCAAAGATACTGACATTCCTTGACCCGGCCTTGGATCACTCTCATCGTCCTCTGCCTTTGCAGAGGATCTACTCGCTGCTGATCAATGCCGGGGAAAATCACAAAACCTTGCTAACTGGATCCACTACAGATTGATGCTCCACAGTCCCAGCTGGGCCCTTACTGTAACAAGGCAATCTTCTCATACTTCTCTGATCAACTTGCTGTCCCACTCTCCAAAGCAGTTCATCCAAACCCTCTTCGTCCCTCCTCAAACCTCCCAGAGTGCCCCTTTGCCTCATATCCTACTGAAAAAAATGCGACCATTTGCTGAGAGCTCCCTCTTCTCCATCCTATCTCATACCACCTAGGAGCTGTCTGCCATTCTCTCCTTCACCCATTTTACATGATAAGGGGCCCTTCTCTGCCAAGCCAACCCCTCTACATGCACCCATTAGTCCCTAGCTGCCTCATGTAGGAGGCCTTTCATAATCCCCAAAGCTGACAGTGCCTTCCCCTCCAAGATTCCTTCCACCTATTCTGAATGCATCATATATGTACCGAGGTGATATTCATTCTGCCTCCCCTGTTAGAATGTAAGCTTCCTGAAGACAGGGACAGTTTTTGCTTTCTCTTTGTATCCCAGGCACTTATACAACTACTGACATATAGTAAGTGCTTAATAAATATTGGATAATTGATGGATGGATGCTTAGGTATTTCAGAGGCATCTCAAATTAAACGTCTCTAAAACAGAACTCATTATCTTTTCTCCAAACCCTCCCCTCTTCCAAATTTCCCTGTTATTGCTGAAGGTACCACCATCCTCCTGGTCAGCTGGGCTCCCAACCTCCCTGTTGTCCTGGACTCCTCTGTCATCCCACGGATGATTCACAGCGTCTCTTGTATTCCCTTCTTTCCACTCCCACTGCCCTCACCTTCAAGCAGGCCCTAATTGCTTCTCACCTGGACTATCCCAGTAACTTCTGGCAGGTTGCCCTGACCTCTTCCTGCTCCAGCCCAGGTATCAGAGCGATCTTCCCAAAACATGGTTCTGACCATATCAAATGCCCCCAATCCATAAATTCCAGTGGCTCCCTATTACCTCCAGGATCAAATATAAACAACTTTGTCACTTAAAGTCCTTCACCATAAACAGTGATTCCTTCTTGTCTCCCTATCACCGAGGCCTGCAGCCACTCTTGTCTTTTTTTCATGCCTCTCTCTCCATTGCCAGAGGTCAGGAAACTACCAGCATAGCCAAAGAACACATGCTTTCCCAATACCCAGCCCTGACTCGAGAAGAAGAGAGAGCTGTTTGGGGTCACTCAATGTTTACTTCTACAGCAGATGACAGAATGAGTGCCTGCACGGGAGGCTCTACCAGAAAGCGGTGATGGCTGTCCTTTCCCCAAGGCCATGAAGGCCAAGGGAAGGGTCATGGGAACCAGGGTGGACAAAAGGATAGCGGCCCTGGCAGGGACGAGCGGTGAGCCTAGCCCCGAAAGTCTGGATGGGCCAGCTGAGCACTGTGCCCAGTATAATGAAGACACAACTGATAACAAGTAGCTTTGTGAGCTGAAGACTGGGGACGACGTCCCTCCCCACTTGCCATCCTGGAGACTGCCGATGTGCCGGCCTGGGGTGTCCATGTTTGCCAAAAGAATGGCATCGTTCCCATGGAGGAGCCGGAGATCTTTACTGAAGAACCTGACAGGAGCACTGTCAGTATGTCACTAGAAAGGCCGGCATGAAAAGGATGCCTCCATCACCCTAAGGCCCTCACACAAACCAAGGGCCCTAAGAAAAGGTTAGGGACCTTTGGAGACCCGGGTGGAAAGAAGGGACATGTCACAGCTGCCAAGGAGCCTCCACGGGTGCTAAGAGCCAACCACTCAGGGCTGGTGCAGGGCAAGTGGAGAGTCGGGAGCCGCAGCAGGCTAGTCTCTGTGCCTGGGATGTCCAAAGCTCCCACGCGTGTGTGCCCTCACCCTGCGGCTCAGTCCTCATGGTCCAGCACGGGGCAGAGGCTCCCCGCACCCATCGTTACTAAGCTGTGCGGGGGTGGCTAGAGACCTTCCTCAGCCACCGCTTCCACTAACCACTCCACAACGACCACGTCCTTGCCGGTTCCTCTCCTCGCCGCTCTCGGGTCCCATCCCCCACGCGGACCGCTTCTGTCTGCCCAGGACGCCCCACGGAAGATCTCCTGCCCCGGCCCGGCTTTCCTAACCCCCGCGCTCCCCGACTGCCTGCGGGCAGGAGAGGATGTCTGGCACTCCCCCTCCACCAGTCCAGCACAGGCCGCGCGTGCCGCCCTCGTGCAAAGCGCACTTCCCCGTCGGTCGGTCACGTGGCGAGAGGAAACAGACCAGAGTGGGAGGCTGGGGGCGAGACGTCCGCCTGGCCCCGCAGCTCTCCGGAGGTGGACGGCGTTCCCGGGCGCTGCGCCGGGGCCACGGAGGTACAGCACGGGGCGCCGGGCACGGGGGCAGAAACGAAGCCTCCCCCGTTCGCGCGGAGGGCAGGGGCCACTTTGCCCCCGGGTGCGGGCGCTGGGCTAGCCCGCCAAGCTCCTCAAACCCGGCGGCGGAGCTTGGGGGGGGCGGAGCCGGGCCTCGCCGGTCTCCGTAGGACTTCAGCCACGCCTACGTAGCAGCCCCCCGGGCGCTGGACTCCATTTCCCAGAAAGCACTGCGAAGGCGCCCTGGGCCCTGGCGCGGTTTCCACGTATTACGTCACTTCCGCCTGCCTAAACTCCCTGCCAGGGTTCTCCCTGTCAGCAGCCACTGTTGGCACTGAATCCTGAGTCCCTCCGGGCCGGGGAGAGAGGAGTCTGCCAGGGACGGAGTGGATGGGGCTTCAAGAGCTGTGAGGGACGGGGGCTCCGAGCTAAGCCCAAGAGGAGCAAGACCTCGCCTCCGCCTCCTTGCTTGGGGCGGTGCCCTCGGGAGCCCGGCTTTTCCTCCTCCTTTTAGGCCCCGCCCTGGAGGACCAGTACTCTGTTAGGAGAAGGTAGGCCTAGGGTTACAGTGAAGTAATAGGAGAGTTTTCCTGCCCCCGGTGCAGCCACTCCGCATTCCGCCTTCTACTCCTTTCTAGGGTGAAGGGGCTTTCTCCAAAACTGCCCAGTCAATGTCTGTCTTACAGGTGGAGCCAGAACTGACCACAGTGCCCTGGACAAAGCCTGACCAGTGCAAGGGACAGAGGGCCGCTGCCACCCATAAGCTTCTCTGGCTGCTTGTGGTCCGCCAAAAGCTCCCATCCCATCCCTCTTAGAACTGCTGTCCCCTCTTCATGTACTGGAGTGGAGTTTTTTTGGTAGCCAATTGCAATTTACTGCAATTCTATTTACCCCTAGCATTCATCTTATTAGATTCCGCCTGATGCTCTCTCCCGTAGTTATCCCTCACCAACTTTGCATCAGCTACCGATTTGATGAGTTGAAATCTATGCCTTTATCCAAGTCACTGACTACAATGTTAGACAGCACAGATGTCAGGGATACTCTGCTGAAGACCTCCTGCCATGTTGACATTGCTCCATAAACAACTTGTCTTCGAGTGGTCATCCAAGCTACTCTAAAATAATTGGATCGTATTATAATGGCTAGCATTTGAATGTTGCTTTAAGTATTTTATTTGTTATTAATTTAATCCTTTCTATAACCCCATGAGGGAGATGCCATTGTAATCCTAACTTTACAGATGAGGAAACAGAAGTTCTAGAGTTTAAGTTATTTACTTAATAAATTAATTGTTTAATCTGAGGTAGCATTCAAACTTGGGTCTTTTATGACTCCAAGTCCAATATTCTGCGCCTCCTAGCTATTCCACATCTCTTCATCTTTTCTATGAGATTAGTATGGGATACCTTCTCACAGGTTTGCCAAAATCTAGGCAAACTCTATCCACAGCATTTCCCTCATCTGCTAGTTCATCCTCTCAACAAGGGAAATTAGAGGCCTGCAGGCTCGACCTGTGCTTGAGGAAGCCAGCCTGGTTCTTTGTGATTGTTGCTTCCCTTTCTGGATGTTCACTAGCCATCTCTTTAATGATCCATTAAAATTTTTTCTCTATTACAATCAATCATAATCATTGCAAAAGAGTTGGGAGATGTCTTCTCATATATCTTTTTTGGGGACAAGTTTGTTCGATGTAATTTTGCATCATTCACTTTTGAATTTTTGCTTTTGTTGTTCCTTCCATTTAATTGTTGTCCTCATTTTTTTTTGTTTTCTTGTCTCTGCTTATTTCACTCTGCAGCAGTTCATGTAGATCTTCCAAAGTTTTTCTGTGTTCAACACACACATTATTTCTTTTAGCACACTACTATTCCATTAATGTAACTAAGTGGCTTAGCTGTTCCCCAATCAATGAGCATTTATTTGCTTCCAACTCTTTGCTACCCCAAAAAAGAAAATGTTGCTATAAATATTTTGGCCTACTTGGGACCTTCCTTATTGTCAATGATCTCAGAACTGGGGTGGATCAAAGGATATGGATATTTTAGCCATTTTCCTTTTGTAATTCCAAACTGTTTCCCAAAATAGTCAAGTACTTCACAGCTCCACCAACAATGCATTCATATACCTGTCTTTCCACAACCCTTCCGATGTTGACTATTTTCTCCATTTGTCCAAACTCAAAACATTATTAGCACAAGTCAGAGAGAAAATATGTTCTACATGAAAAGAAAGAGCTGTTGAACAGTTTCTAGGTATAATGTTGAAAAAGTCGAGACATATCTTCTGGGTAATTAATAATTTTATTAAACGTGCTAACAATAATGAATAAAAAGGGGTCAGTGATGTTCTCCCCTTATGTGCACTTGGAAGAGTGGGTGTTCCTGACAGTAGCAACCCACTCTGAGGGATAACAAGCAATGAGAGAAAATTAATATTATAATGAGAAGTGGACCTATCCTAATGAGGGGCTGGGGAATCCAAATCACCCCCAGCCCTAGACAATTTAATAAAAGAATTTATCCCCACCCAAACCTAAATAGAACACAATGGGCAGGAATTCACCTAGATAAAGTGGTCTAGGTGGGGTAAATTTTTGGCAGAGGTCAGTAAGTTCCTTCAAAGGCTAGGATTTGAACAAGCAAATAGGACAGGGAAAAAGCCTGGATCTCCCCCATAACTGATTATTAATAATCATCTCATAGGGCTGGTATCATCTATTAGATATCACCCAATTTCTGGCGCATGAGAAATCTAAGAACTGGCAGCCCTTATGAAACTATGTAAGACGGCAGGCATTTTGCTGCCCAGGTAGCTGGTAGAGACCCAAGCTGGGACCAAAAAACTACAGCACCACTGCCTCTAAGCCTTCTGAAGTTCCTGTTGGCTACAGAAATTTCCTTCTGTAAATCTTATTAGGATGTTTAAGTTCTGTATCTAGCTTGCTTTTTTTTACTCTGGGAGTGGCCATTAGTTTATTACACCATCACCTCTAATGCTTATTTGTAGAAAATGATACAGAAAGGAGAATTTGATCAACATCTTCAGCCAGCTATGTGCCAGGCCTTATGCTCATCCCCGGAGACACAGTGACAAAATGCAAACAAGCCTGGCCCTCAAGGAGCTTACATTCTAGCCTCTGGAGACAACACAGACACGCATAGATAGGTACATGCAAAATTGATAAAAGGTGATTTTAAAGTAGTTTCTTAACTTGGGTTCTGTAAACCTGGTTTTACCAGACTGCCCACGTGACACAGAAACAAGCTAGGATCCTATTTTAGTCAAATAAGCATTTATTAAGCACCAACTATATGCACGAGGTATTGTGCTAAGTGCTGGGAATACAGAAAAGCAAGAGCCAGTGCCTGCCCCTGACGACGTCGATCTAATATGGAAGGCAACAGTCCAATAAATATGTACAAGCGAGCTATGCACAGGATAAAAAGGCAATAATTGAGAGGGAAGGCACTAGCATTGAGAGCGAGTGGGAAAAGCCTTCTGTGGAAAGTAGGATTTTGGAGGCAGCTAGGTGGCACAATGGATAGAGCACCGCCGCCTCAGACGCATTAGCCCCATTGCCTCGAAAAAACAAGAGCAGGATTTTAGCTGGGACTTGAAGGAAGCCAGGGGAGCTAGGAGGCAGAGATGAGGAGGGACAGGTGTCAAGCACGGGCTACTTGGCAGGAAAGGCTTCGAATATAGGAGGCCCCTTTTGAAAGAGGAAAACCAAAGCCACCGGGACACTAGGATAGCAGTCGCAGCGGGTGGCCAGGGCGAAGGCATGGAGCGCCGGTTTAGCTAGCCCCTCAGCGTGCAACCGGGGCGTGCGGATACTATGTAGCAAGGTGGGGAAGGGAACTTGTGCGGCGAAGACCGAGGAGAGTTTGCGTGGTGGGATGCCGGGGGTTCTTCCAAGCCACCCCTTCGCTTAGCTAAGACCGCAGCCTCCGAGCCGGCGCAGTGTGGTCAGCCGTGCTGCTCGCAGCTGGCGTCTCCCCGATCGGAGCGCGAGCTCCTGGACGGGGGGACGTCCCCCCACTTCTTTCCAACCGAGCACTCCGCATGGCGAAGAACTGGCACACAGTAGGTGCTTAATACATGCTTCTTGACTTGACATCTCCTCTCACGCCTCCCCTCCTCAGTCCCTTATCACCTCTTCCCGATTCTGCTGGGGATAATCTGCTAATAACTAGGACCTAACTGGTCTCTTCAGGCGAGGCCCCTCTCCAATCCAGTCTCAACAGACACGCAGCAAGCGCCCCAGGAGGCGGCGAGCATGCGCGCGAGCCGCCCCGGCCCCGTGCCTACGCTTCCCAGAAGGACTTGCGGCAGCGTCCCGAGGGCTCAGGGTGCTCTTTCGTGGCCTCTTCCAGTCGGCTTCGTCCTCAGCAATCGCTGGGATTGCGGCCGGGCCGGAGCCCTGCGTCCCACGTCTACGCGGGGAGCCGGAGGCTGGGAGGGCTGACGGACAGCGGCGCCCTCTGCCTGAATGTTAACCTTAGAGAAGGCTAGCGGCCTCTCGGGAGCACGCGCAGTACATCTCCCGCGCCTGTAGAAGGCACGCCCCCACAGGAGGGAACCCGCCCATCGGACAGCCTCGGGGTGGAGCCAGAGCTCCTTCGGCCCCGCCCCAAACACGTGGGTCAAGGGTCCTTTTCCCTCCCCCGCTCCGCCCGGGAGGCTCGGCCCTCCTGGCCTGGAAGGAGTGAGGCATGGCTCCCGGGCCTGAGGTGAGCGAGCGGGTGCCCATCGATCCCCTTGGCGTGTGGCGTCTCCATCCCTGGAGTGCCCGTCCTCCGGGCCTTTGCCTCCCAGAATCGTGGGGGTGGCCCCTGGGCGAGCCCCGGTGTCCTTGGTCTTCCAGGGCTCCGTGACCTTCCAGGACGTGGCCGTGACCTTCACCCCCGAGGAGTGGGGGCGCCTGGCTGCCCCCCAGAAGGAGCTGTACCGGGAGGTGATGCTGGAGAACTTCGGGCACCTGGCCTGCCTGGGTGAGGAACCCCCCATCCTGCCGGGGTGGGGGGCACGGGGAGCATCTCACTCTTTGGTTTGTCCCCCTTCCCGCTCCCAGGTTTGGCCTCATTGCCCCTCTCCCACTTCAGCTGCCTCCCTTTCACCTCCAAGATCTGAACCCACCCCCAGCCCCCGTCCTTTTAGCAGGGAGTGGTTGGGATGAGCGGGTGGTCTTTCTGGGCTCATTCCTAGGAGCAGTGGACCACCGGCATCCCCCTGAGGCTTTCCCAGCATGCCAGCTGTTCGAAACAGAGAGGGGCTAGGATGGCGTTCACAGCAGTTCCCTGGCCACAATAATTTTCCATATTCAATGAATAGGACTTGTAATTTCCAAGCCAGATGTGATCTGCCAGTTGGAGAGAGGGGAAGGTCTTTGGAAGCCAGAGGGAGATGCCCCCTGGGCAGCTATGCAGGTGAGTGAGTGAAAGAAGCCCTGGCCATGAATCACGGGTAGCCACTGCTGCTGTGGTCATTGATAGGGAAGCACACCTTGGGGTATGGTAGAGTCTGACCCTGACCCTGGGCAGGTCACTTCCCCACAGCCTGCCTCGGTTTCCCCGTATGTAAAGTGAAGGTCATACTAGTGGTCCCAGACTTAGTGGGAGATTCAAATGAGATGATCCACGTGAAGCTCTTTGTAAACCTTAAAGCACTAGATAAAAGCTAATTCTCTTAAAGGCCAAGGAATCAGCTACCGTGTGGGAGATGTAGCCGGGCCTCTGTGCCTGGATGAAACAAGAAGTGGAAGATGGAGTGGATTAGAAGGGAAGTATTTATCCTCACAGCATACCTTTCTTTTTGAGTCATTTTTCAGTCATGACCCACTCTTCTTGACCCCATTTTTGGGGTTTTCTTGGCACAGACACTGGAGTGGTTTGCCATTTCCTTCTCCAGCTCATTTTAGAGATGAGGCAACTGAGGCAAAAGGGGCTAAGTGATTTGCCCAGGGTCACACAGCCTGTAAGTGTCTGAGGCCAGATTTGAACTCAGGAAGAGGCATCTGCCCCACCCCACAGCCAGTGCTCTGTGCACTATGGCGCCACCTAGCTGTCCTAGAGCAGGCCAAAATGCTAATGCTGCCCCTGCAGCCAATGCACATTCCATGAAGAGAAGAAAGATGTGGTCTCCGTCCTCAGTCCTGGCTTATCGTTGTGCGCTGTGCTATGTGTCTTCCTGGACCCTACATCTTAGGTGTTACAAGCATTTCAGCAAGTGCCTGCTCTTTGTCATATTACAGCCAGGCCTTGCCCATTACCATCAGAGCTCATCTTTTCATCACAGCTCTTGGAAATAATCAGAGGATTACAGATTTAAAGCGGGAAACGAACCCAACCCTTTCATTTTATGTTTGAAGGGACTGAGACCCAGGAAGGTGACTGACTTGCCAAGATCATATAAGTAGTAAGCATCACAAGTGGGATTTGAACCCAAGTCCTTTGACTCCATAGCCAGGGCTCTGATACTCTAATATAATCAGATTGTTGAGGTTTAGAGTTGGGAGAGCTGGTTCAGAGGTGAAAGAATTCACTTAGACCTTCTCTGTAACCATTGGGAGCTTTATTGCCGCGAGAGCAGTGGGCTAGCTCTGGAAAGAGGACCAGCAACTCAAAGAGAGGCAGGGACAGCTTTAGAAGGACAGGATGAGGAAGATGGCTGCTTACAAGACAGTTGTATAAGTTTTATGGGGGTTAAAGATTAAAGACAGGTCAAGAAAGGATCTCATGGCATAGGAGGAGGGAGATGAAGAGAATTCTTCATGGTTTACAGGGCCTGAGGGCGCAGGTTAAAAATTAAAGGACAGGAAGAAGAACATAGGCTAAGGGACATTTGTGTATCTCTTTTTGCGTTTTAACAATTCTTTTGGTACTGGTCCAAGATAAGGGGGAAAGGACTTTAGGATGCCTTTCAAGGTACAGAATAAACTGGGGTTTCACAAAGTACTGGAAAAGCGACACTGATATTCTCTTAACCCTTAGGGCAATGTATGTCTTCTGCTTCAAGATGGGAAATATCTTGTCAGTTGGAAGCAAGGGCTTTGTGTTACTCTTTGTTAGGACTGTCTCCTACTCCAATTCATACAGCAACATATTGCCGTTTAGGACAGGCACAAAAAACTTACTTATCTCTAAACTGAGGTTAGACAAAATAAGAAATAAAATCAAATGGCAACTAAAATTTGAAGAGTGAACAATTTAAGACTCTGAGTTCATTGAAAATCTTCAATTAGTAAAAGTTCCAAAAGTTACACTTAATAATGAAAAAAATTAACCCTAATAATGAAACAAGACAAATACAGCACCGAATACGACACTCAAATAATTTGAAAATGCCTGAACTGAAATTACAAAGAGCTCTTTTGGACTTAAATGGCATTCATCGAATTAGTGGACCAATTATGACAAAACAGTAATTAAAAATTGGCATCTGCTCTCACCATCACAAATGACTACATCCTCTCCCAGCATTTAGCAGAAAGTGTAAAAATCCTGTAAGACCTGCACACAGCTGTTACCATTGTAAGTTTCCTTCTTAAGGAAAGGGGAAGCTGTTAAGAAATATTCTTCAGATTAGACAGCAATTCCTCTAGGGCAGAAGCAGCTTAAGAGAGCTATTGAAGTCATTGGAAGATTGTATCAATATATTGTGGGGACACTTGACAGAATGCCATCTTGCTCAATTAAAACAAAATTCAGAAAAGAATCTTTTTAAAAAGCCTATTAGAAATTCTAGATTATTTTAATCAGCTATTAAAAGCATAAATGAAAAAAATTAAGGTGATACAAGGAGTGTAGAGAACAAAATAAGCAAGACAAAATTAATAAAAAAAACTTGACTACAGAAGGTTAAGGAAAGAAATCAGAGGCAAGTCGCAGCTCCCACAGGAGGAGGAGGTAGACAACTGTGTGAGTTGTCACAAAAAGTCCAACACAATGAAAATGCCAATTGGATTAAACAAGAAACAGAAGCTTGTGCACCATTAGTATAGCAAATGGCAGAATAGTTACCTTTTTTTTTTAAGGCAGTTAGGGTCAAGTGACTTGCCCAGGGCCACACAGCTAGTAAGGGTCAAGTTTTTGGTCTGAGGCCGGATTTGAACTCAGGTCCTCCTCACTTCAGGGCCGGTGCTCTGTCCACTGCGCTGCCTAGCTACCCCCACAGAATAGTTACAATAAGGGAGGTGACTGGACCTCTGACTTGTCTGAAAAACTGGTAATCAGCAGGGCTGGATCAAATTCCTGATTGTTGACCCCAGTGCTTCCCGAGACTTGATCAGCTTCTTCTCAGATGCAAACTCTACCTTCACCAAAGGCATAACAACTGGTGTTGTTCATCCTTTGTCTTGGAAGGGGACCAGTGACATCACAGGTGATGTTCTGAATTGCAAGTGAATTGGATCTAAGCAAGGCAGAGTTGCACAAAGTCAAAGTCCAGTCACTGGGCAAAAGTCAAGACTGGCAGTGAATAACCTTGATGTTTTGAGTGTCTGACCAAGCTCTACGCGGTCCACAGTGCCTGCTTTAGCCATCTTCCTGGCCTTCGGGACAAATTGTTCTCATCTGCCCATTCTGCCGGGGGAAATCTTTGCATCTTGGCATCACAGTAATGGGTTTGAGGCCTGTCAGTTACCCTCAGGCTGGTTTGGCCTGTCTCCCTACACAGTTCTACCAGGGTGTGGCCACACTACAGCCACAGATAAGAGCTGGATGACAGGTGGATACCAGTGGTGGACAAGCAGTCTTGAAAGGGGCTTGGCAAGCCTTCACTCTAGAGGCGCCTGTCCTCGAACACCTTATACACCCTACACACAACTGTTGTAAAAGGATAAGAATACCAGTGACATAGGCCACTTACAAATTACGTGTATAAATACAGGAAAATAAGTGTAATAAAACTTTTATTTTAAAATATAAAAACCATTCTTAGCTTGAGGGCCATCATTGGCCCTCGGGCTCTAGTTTGCAATCCCTGAACTAGATACTCCATTTCCTGACTCGAAGCATTTTCACTAGCTGTCCCCCAGTTCTGAAATTCTTTCCCTCATTTCCACCTCCTAGCTTCTGTTTTCAGAGAAGACAAGAGGCCAAAGCCCCACCTTCTTCAAGTAGCCTTTCCCAATCCCCCTTAATGCTAGTGCCTTCCCTCTGTTGATTTTCTCCAACCTTTTCTATATCTTGTTTGTACGTAGTTGTTTTTCACTTTTCCACCCATTAGGCTGTGAGCTTCTCTAAAGCAGAGACTGTTTTTGCCTTTTTTGTATCACTATGTGCTTAATAACTGCTTATTGACTGGTGAAACAGTAGAATTTTCTCATTATTTTCTTGAACTGATGATCATTCCATCTACTTAAATATGTCCACATATAGTAAATTCACTCCTATAGGGTTGAAATGAATAGGGTGGTGAAATGACCATTGGATTGGAATGGCTTGAGTCCAGAATCTGCTGCAAATTAATAGTGTGACCTGATATAAGCATTGGTCTTCGTTTCCTCACCTGTCAAATGAAGATGTTGGACTGCGTGATCTCAGATTTCTTCTGCCCTACAACAGATAGCGCTGTTAGAATATGAGGTTTTTAAAATATTTTTTTCCTCAATTATGTGTGAAGACAATTTTTAACATCCATTTGAAAATTTTTTTTGAGTTCCAAATTTTTTTCCTCTCTCCCTCAACTACCCTTTCCCTGAGATGGTAAGCAACTTGATATAGGTTAGAAGTACAGTCTTGCAAAACATTTCCATATTAGTCATGTTGTGAAAGAGGACAGAGACCAAAAGAAAAAAAAATAAAGTGAAAAATAATATGTTTCCATCTGCATTTGTACTCCATCAGTTCCTTCTCTGGATGTGGATAATTTTTTGTTATGAATCCTTTGGAATTCTCTTGGATTATTGTGTTGCTGAGAATAGCTAAGTCATTCACAGTTGATCATTGCACAATATTACAGTTGCTGTGTACAGTTGTTCTGGTTCTTCTCACTTCACTTTGCATCAGTTCATAAAGTTCTCCCAGGTTTTTCTGAAAGCATCCTGCTTGTCATTTCTCATAGCACAATAGTATTCCATCAGAGTCATATGCCACAGCTTGTTCAATCATTCCCCAATTGAAGGTCATCTCTGTTTGATAGAGTTTTTGCAAAGTTGTCCTCATTCTTAGGACTTAGTAGAAAAGATCGCTGCTTTTTGCAGAGATGCAATGTAGTGTAGTAGAATAAGCATTGAACTTGGTGTCAAAAGACCTTGTTTCTAGTCCTAGCTTTGATACTTTTTGGGTGACCTTGAGTAAGTCACAATCACTTTTAGCCTTAGTGTCTTTGGAAAAAGAATAATGGACCTCCCTTTCTCAGAAAATGGATACAAGAATCAGTGCTAAAGCTCTTTAGGAATTGTAAATAGCTTTACAAACCTAAGGTGGTGTTATCTGTATTTGGCTCTATACATTTTACAATTCTTTTTCTTCACAGAGGAGACAGAAGGCAGACCAAAATAAGCAGAAGTTACCTTTCTTCTTGCAAGGGAAACTGGGTTATTACACTTTTTATCTCTTTCAGATTTGGAGGTGATATTTGAAACCAAGGCATCAACTCCAAAGCTCGACATTTCTATCGAAGAATCATCTCTGGAAAGAATCAAAAGGGAACTTCCTTGTGTCTCAAAGTTGGGAGAAACTTCAGAATATGAGGCTGGGTTAAAGAGACTGCAGAGCAATGAGGACACACATTCTAGGTAAGTTTAAAAAGTCAACTAATAAAAACCCAATGAAGTGAGAGAACATGAAATAGTAAACAGGGGAACTGTGAACTCATCCAACCATTTTGGGGAACAATCTGGAATTATGCCTTTTAGAATTATAAAACTATATGCCCTTTGACCCAGATATACCACTATTATTAGGTCTGTTTCCTGAGGTGATCAGTCAAAAAAGAAAAGAACCTGTATGCCATAAAATATTTATAGCAGCTCTGTGGTGGCAAAGAGCTGGAAGTTGAGGGGATGCCCATCAACTGGGAATGACTAAAATTGTAGTATGTGATTGTGGTGGAATACTACTGTGCTGTAAGAAATGATGAACTGGTTGATTTTATAAGAAAACAAACATGGAAAGACTTGCATGAAGTAACGGAGTGAAATGAACAGAACCGAGAGAGTGTTCTATACACTAACAGCCATATTGTTTGAAGAACAATTGTGAACAACTTAAGTTATTTTGAGCATTATTATGAATGCTCAAATCAGCTACGAAGGAAGGTGCTGTCCGCTTCCAGAGAAAAAACTAATAAATACAATTATGCTTAGTATCATATTGGGGGTGGGGTGGGAGGAGAAATGGTGGCTTTCTCTGGTTCAGGGTGAGGAGAAAGGGAGGGAGACAGTTTGAAACTTAAAATATAACAAAAAATAAAATAAAATTGAAAAAAAAAGAGTAAATGTGGTAGAATCTTGAGTCTAGGACCAATCATTTTTTCCACAATAAAGAGTATTTTATAGGGAGCTCTCTGTAAAAATGATACCTAGAAAGTTTCAGAGTCTGTTTAGAGGCCAATGTAACTACAGCAGAATCTCTTCAGTTATTTTTAACAGATAGTGACTATGTGAAATTAAGTTAAAATTCAAATTCAATTACATGTTATAGGATATATACTTAAAACTTACAAATGTGATTAATGTGGGAAAGCTTTTAACTACATTTCATCTATTAATTCCCTTTACAGAATTCATACTGGAGAGAAATCTTATAAATGTAATGAATGTGGGAAGGCTTTCTACCAGAACTCACAACTTTTTGTACATCATAAAATTCATTCTGGAGAGAAACCTTATGAATGTAATGAATGTGGGAAGGCCTTCAAACTGATCATAGATCTTACTCTGCATCAGAGATTTCATACTGGACAGAAAAGTTATGAATGTAATGGATGTGCAAAGGTCTTCACTCGGATGACAGATCTTATTCTACATCAAAGAATTCACACTGGAGAAAAACCTTATGAATGTAAAGAATGTGGGAAGGCTTTTCGAGGGAGCTCACAACTGACTCTACATCAGAGGATTCATACTGGGGAGAAGCCTTATGAGTGTCTTAAATGTGGGAAGGCTTTCACCCAGAGCTCACAGCTGACTCGACATCAGAGAATTCACACTGGAGAGAAACCTTATGAATGTAATGAATGTGGGAAGGCCTTTCCTTGGATAACACATCTTACATTACACCAGAGAATTCACACTGGAGAGAAACCTTACAAATGTAAAGAATGTGGGAAGGCTTTTCGAAGGAGCACAGGACTTACTGATCATCAGAGAATTCATACTGGAGAGAAGCCTTTTGAATGTAATGAATGTGGGAAAGCCTTCAGACGGAGCACAGGACTCACTGATCATCAGAGAATTCACACTGGAAAGAAACCTTATAAATGTAATGAATGTGCAAAGGCTTTCAATCGGATCCCAGATCTTATTCGACATCAGAGAATTCATACTGGAGAGAAACCTTTTGAATGTAATGAATGTAGGAAGGCCTTTACACAAATCACAGATCTTACTCGACATCAGAGAATTCACACTGGTGAGAAACCTTATGAATGTAATGAATGTGGGAAGGCCTTCCATGGGAGTTCTCAACTTACTAGGCATCAGAGAGTTCATGCTGGAGAGAAACTTCCTGAATCCAATGGATGTAGAAAGGTGTTTCATGAGAATGAACTACTTGCCATACATCAGAGAAGTCATACTGGAGAAAAACATCACAGGTGCCACAAGTGTGGCAAGACCTCCAACCAAAACCTAGAACTTATTCCACCTCAGAGAATTCATACCAGAAAGAAACCTTATGAATGCAATGAATGTAGAAAGGCCACTTGTGGCAGTTCCCAGCTTTCTTGACATCAGAGGATTCATACTGGGAAGAAACCTTATGAATGCAAAGAATTTGAGAAAGTTCTTTGTCAGAGTATACAACTTAATCAACACCACATAATTCCTACTAGAGAATAGCTTTTGATTGGTAAAGCCTTATGAAGGAATGAATGGGGAAGATTTTATCTAGAGCATGCACTGAAATTTAGAAAAATTGAACTAAAGGAAAGCCCTATAGATGAAAGAATTCCAGGTACAATTTCCCACAATGGCTTTTGCTTCTCTCTTTAAGTTCCTAGCTACTCTCCTATCTCACATTGAAAGTTATAATTATTTGTTGAGACTGTTGTGGAAATCTGACCAGAGCTTCCTCTTTCAAATTCCCCTTTAACATTCTCAGAATCATTACCTACTTTCTTCCAGTCAAAGAGGAAGGAATATCCTTCCTCCTTTAAGTTGTAAATCTTCTGCCTTTCATACTTTATCCAATCCCTTGTCTGACTATCTAGGACCTAGCTTGATCCATTTCCTCTCTTTTATGCATCTTCAATCTAGCTTCCTCTAAACATGCTTAGGTCTCACCAGCACTCTTCTCCCACATACCACTCAAGGCCACCACTCTTCAAGGGCTATCTCTAGCTCTCCTCCTTACTTTCCCCTCCTTGAATCTCCAAATGTATAAACCTTTTTTTTTCCCTGGAAAATTCCAGGCCTTTCATATTTTCCTTTACTCCTTGCCTTTCAGTTTGGTATTTCATACTGTTATACCTTTCCTCTTCCCACCTCCTTCACACCTTCTTTTCCCTTTTCAGAACTCAGGCTTGGTTTTTTCTCATATCTTCATCTTTTCTCTTCCTTAGGGTTTGCCCTTTTCCAGCCCTTTAAATTGAGTGTTGTGAGTGGTTTTGCCCTTGGCCTTTTTTCCTTTTCAAAAATCTTTTTTAATCCTGATAGAACTAAGGTGTTATTAACAACACCATCACCACCTCCTACAAAGTTATAATAAGAACATAAGGTAGGAATCTGGAAAAAGAAAGGATTGGTTGAGTTCGAGCAGCAGTAAGTTTCATTCTACAGAATAGCCACCTTTACTTTTAGAAAATATTTTGGCAGAACCAGGAAAACTATACAGTGACTGCAATAATATAAATAAAAAGAACCAGAAAAATTCATTAAATCTGGAACTTGTACAATGATAATGACTAAGCTAGGCCCTAAAGAAGAGATATGAGAATGCACCTCCCCCTTCCCTCTATGAAATAGTTTCATATACTGTTTGTTATAAGAGATGGTTTTCTAGGTAGGCAAGGTCTATTGAAAAAAAAAGGTGATATAAAATTGAAAAATTACTAGTAAACATGTCCTAGAAACCAGAAGTGATTAAAAAAAAACAACTTGGACTTCCGCTTCCGGGAGCCAAGATGGCGGAGTGAAAAGGTAGTTGTTCTCATTCTCCCTATCAACCTATGAAAACCCAGAAAATATAACCCCAGAAAAAAAACCCTGGAACAGCTGAACTAGAGGAAAGACAGGGAATGGTAGTGCAGCGGCCCAGCAAACAGGTCTCCCAGTGCCTCAGCAAAAATAAGGGAAGCAGCACTAAAAAAGGCCCCAGGCAGATAAGTACCCTGCAGCATTCATCTGAAAAGAGCTGAAGAAAGCAACCTAAAAACCGAGCCTTGCTGATTCCAGCCCAACACCAGGTAAGCTCTCAGAACCTCCAGCTGTCAACCAGGAAGAGATCCTGAAGCCCAGGTGGTAGAGCAGGCAAACACCAACACCTGGACCTCCAAGTGCCTCAGTGAGGGCAGGGGGAACTGGTGGAAACCAGCTTAGAAAACCACCAGGTGCCTCGGCACTCTACCCACATGTACAAAAATATTTGTAGCAGCTCTTTTTGTGGTGGCAAAGAATTGGAAATTGAGAGGATGTCCATCAATTGGGGAATGGCTGAGCAAGTTGTGGTATATGAATGTAATGGAATACTATTGTGCTGTAAGAAATGATGAACAGGCTGACTTCAGAAAAACCTGGAAAGACTTGTATGGTCTGATGCTGAATGAAGTGAGCAGAACCAAGAGAACTTTGTACACAGTAACAGCCACATTGTGCGATGACTAATATTGATAAACTTAACCCTTCCCAGCAATACAAGGATCTAAGACATCCCCAGAGGCCTCATGGATGGAAAATGCTATCCACATCCAAAGAAAGAAATATGGAAGTTGAATCGCTATCATTTCTTTTTTCTTTTCTGTTGAGTTTTATTTCCTCTTTCTAATGGTTCCTCCTATTGGTTTTAATTTTTACTTACAACTTCACTAATGTGAAAATATGTTTAATAGGAATGTAAATGTATAGCCTATATGAGATTGTGCATCGTCTTGGGGAGGTTAGTGGGGAGGAAGGGGGAGAAAAATTTCAAACTCAAAAGCATATGGAAGTGATTGTTGATAAGTCAGAATAAATTAATAAAATTAAAAAAACTTGATGGCTTCAATTTTGTCTTTAGAGTTGTTTCTTCTGTAGTCTTTTCTATTGTCAGTCAAACATTTATCAAGCTCCTACTATGTGCCAGGCACTATGCTTAGCACTAAGGGGAAATTAGTAGCTGTATGGAAGATGATTTGAAGAGGGGAGACACTTAATGCATGGAGCACTTACAGGAAGTGGTGTAAGAGTCCTGGTGAGAGATGACTAGTAGAGGCGGCAATCTCTAAAAGGAAGCATGATTTCATGAAGAATAGGCCAAGTTATCCTCAGTTTACTTCCTTTCCTCCCACACATAATAAGATGAATGCTGTACACATAGTTTACTTGGACTTTAGTGAGACATTTGACAGGTCTCTTGTGCTTTATGGATGAGATAGAAAGATGGATTTGATGATGGTATAGTTGAGTGGTTTGAAGCTGGTGAAAAGATATTGAGTGGTCAGTGTCAACTTATAGGATGACTTGGTGAGGTGTCCTTAGGATGTCATCTTTAGCTTTGTATTGAAAACTTTCCCCCCCACTGAATGAGGCATAAGTAGCATTCAAGAGAAATATACAGATGACACAAAGCTTGGGGGAATAGACAGTTCTAATTATGTTTCCCCCCACAGTATCCAGCCTTAATCTACATCCCTGTAACTTCCATCCTTTGGTTTTAATTATGCTCTCTAGGGCAAAAAAGAGCAAGCATGATTCCTCCTTTGCATTACAGCACTTCAAATACTGTCATTCCCTCCAAATTCCCTCTCCTTCAGGTTCACAAGTAATGAATGTGGAAAGTCTTTCAACCAAATCATAGATCTTACTCTGGATCAGAGATTTTGTACTAGAGAGAAAAATTGTGAATGTAATGCGTGTGAAGATCTTTACCTGGTTGACTGATCTTATTCTACATCAAATAATTCACACTGCAGAGAAACCTTATTAAATGTAAAGAATATGGGAAGACTTTCTGAAGGGGATCACAACTTTACATTTGAGGAGTCATATTGGAGAAATCTCGTAAGTGAATGTGGAAAGGCATTTAGCTGGATTCCAGCTCTTACTCAACATTACTGGAGAGAAAACTTACAAATGTTTTGAATGTGGGAAGACTTTCCATGGGAGCTCACAACTTGCTTGACAGAGAATTCATTCTGGAAAGAGACTTTTTGAATGTGATGAATTTGGGAAGGCCTTCCATGAGAATGAACTTTTACTAGACATCACAGAACAAATGCTGGAGATAAACCTTATGAATGTGTCGAGTATGTGAGGTCCTTTAGCCAAAGCTCACAATTTAAAATCTTTTGAATTCAATGAATGTGGGAAAGCCTTCAGAAGGAGTAGAGAGCTCAGTGATCAGAGAATTCATAATATAATTAATGTGGGAAGGCTTTCAACTGAATCCCAGAACTTACTCAAAAATCAGAGAAGTCATACTAGAGAGAAGCTTTATGAGTGTTTTGAATGTGGAAAAGACTTCACCCAGATTACTGATCTTACTTGACATCAGGATGCATAGTGGAGAGAAGCCTTATGAGTATTTTGAATGTGGGAAAGCTTTTCATAATAGTTCACAGCTTATTTGACATCAAAGTTCATACTGGAGAGAAACTTTATGAATACAATGAATTTGGAAAGACCTTTCACCAAAGTTTGCAACTTATTTTACATGAGAGTATTCATATTGGAGGACGTAGGAAAGCTGTTAGCCAAAACTCCCAATGTATTCAATATTAAAAGAAGTCATAGTGGAGAGAACTTTATGAGTACATAATAAATGTGGCAAGTCTATTTTGCCTTGTGACAGTTCACAACTTTCGACATCAGATAATTCAAACTGAAGCAAAAACTTAATATAAAGAACATGGGAAGACCTTCAGCCAGAGAGTACATCTATATCAGAGAATTCATGTTGTAGAGGAGCATCATTAATGTAAGGATTGTGGAAGGGCCTTTGCCCAGATTTTATTCACATCAGAAAATTGATACTATAAAGGAGCTTAATAAATGTAGAAAGACCTCTGTTATCAGGGCTTTCAGTCAGTTCATAATGCTCAATATCAGAATTCATACTGGAAAGAAACCTTATAAATGTAAGGAACATGGAAAGGCCTCCTACCAGAGCGCACTGGCTCATTCGACATTGGAAAATTCATATCGAAGCCCTTGATGGAAAAGCCTGACTAAAGAAATGAATGTGAAAATTCCAACGAGAGAATTCAAACTAAAGGGAAACCATATAGAGATTCCTGTTTAATTGTTAACAATAACACTTTCAAATGTTTTCTTCTTACTTCAAGGCTCTAGTCATCTTTCTACCCCAAACTACACAGAGACCGATAATCTTACAGGAGCTTCCTTCTCTAACCCAACACCTCTTGAAGCAGCATGGTCCATAGTTAAACAAGTAAGATTGCAAGGAAGCCTCCTGACATCAAGGCAAATTTCTTTGAAACTTCCATCTGTTGTTTCTGGGTCTGCTGTCTGAAGCCAAACAGAGCAAATCTAACCCTTTCTTCTCTCTTTGGCAACCCTTCAGTTGCTTGAAGGTAGCCATCATCCCCGCCCCCACAGACACACCAGTTCTGTTTGCCTGCCTACTGCTCTACCCTTGAACCACACTGATAGACAACATTAACTAATACATCCCACACACTGTGCCAAGTGCTAGGAATATAAATAAGATCAACTAAGGCTTATATTCTAATGGGAGAAGACAGCACTCAAAGCAGAGCTGGGAAGGGAACATGGAGGAGCCCAGGGGGCAGGAAGCAAGTATGAGGCTTGATTTGGGGTAAAGTAAGTCAAATCTCACTTCTAAGAGCTAGAGCACCCAGAGGTAAGAGTCCAGGGCTGCAGAGGGGAAGGGAATGATGGTGGCCAGAGGGGAGGCAGCACGGTGGGGAGGTGGCTGGGAACTAATGTGGAGGCTGAGTTTGGGGAAAGATAAGGTGAAAACTCACCTCTCACTTCTGGGTAATATAAGGGTGGAGGGGAGGGTGGGAGAATTAGAAGTCTGTTTTAATGTCCCAAGTCCTAATTCAGGGTGCTGCTGCTCTCCCTACCCTTTCATGTCAGTCAACCAGTAGAAATAGATTAACCCATGGAAAAGGGCATTTACTGAGAACGTTTACCAAGAACAATAGTTTTTTTTTTTAAATTCCCCTCAACCTGAGGGCACATTTGTCCTCTTGCAAACCCGTAAGATCCCTTGTGGAGTGGGCTCAACCTTAAAAGTACAATGGAGTGAGTCCAAGAGATAGCTCTCAATTCTTGGCTTAAATAGTTTATCCCTTTGTGGAGTCACAATGTTCTCTTTAAGTGTAGCTCTCTGGGCTTAGTGGAGCTCCCACAGCCAGTATGTCTCCATCTGTAGGCACTCCTCTGTCCCCAGCCACTACTTCTCTAGCAGACTCTGCTATGGATTCAGGTTGTTGGTGGGACCCCCAATAGATTCCTGTCTCACCAGTCACTTATAAATTTCCATTTCAGGATATTTTTTTCATTTAAAATCAGGAAAGAATAAACTATCTTTTCTTGGACACAAGGTAACCAGGTGGGAGATAGGGCAGCTGTCCTTATTCCAACTGCCATTCACCTCTCTTGAAGGTGAGGGGAGAGAGAGATTGGCCACCGGACTCTTGTATGTATGCTCCATTCCAGCTCGGCTTCTCCGGAATCGATCATTCTAGCTGAGGCCAATTGGAAGGCTTTTTCCTCATTACATATTACTAGTCCTGGGTCACCATGGCTTAAACCACCTCCAAAGTTCCATGGGTTTGTCTGACTGCAGGCAGAGCATATTTGCACGTGCTTCAAGGACTGGGCTCTCCTTGGTCAGTCTGTTATACCTAATAAAACAATAATAGCATTTACATAGCACTTCAAGGTTGCAAAATTTCATTTGATCTTCATAGTAGCCTTGTGATACAGGTGCTATAATAATGATCTCCATTCAGCTTTTCCTGACTCCAGGTTCAGTTCCCTACCCCTTTTACTGCCTAGCTGCCTATGTGCCTCTATAAAGTATTTGACACTTGGCGCTATAGGCTTTTACACACCTC